TCCTCCAGTTGGCTCCATCCCTGTCCCATTCACACCCCTGGGTCCTCAAGGCAGCTCCTGCTCTGCTGGAAATGTCCTCACTATGTCAGGGAAACCACAAAGGGCTCCCGAGTATCACCAAATGATGCTCGCTTGGGTTCCAACCAGATCTCCAGACTTGGGAACCAGCCCAGGGCCAAACACAAGCCCTGGCACAGACATGTGCCAAAAGCCACAGTGATCTCAACCTGCTCAGGATGCACCTCAGAATTTTCCTTGTGTTTGCCACATCATGTACCTGGAGCAAACCCCAATCCCTGCAGAGACCCCAAGCTATTGTTATCCATTTACCCCAGACAAGCCATCCTTGTAGTTAATTTAGGAGGCCACTTCCCTGAGCCCACAGCACAGAGCTGCCACTGCACTGACCCTTGCAGATGAAGTGGGACAAGTCCCTCCACCAGGATCAGAGGCCAACCAGAGCCCTACACCCCCACACTCACAAAAAAAAACTGACAGGAGGGTGTGAGACCACCTCTTCTCTCAGCTCCTGGGGGAAAAGAACCCTCTGAGGCTGTGCAGGGTCATGGCCAGCCTTTGGCTTTATCAGCTCCAAGAGCAATGTTCCCAGTGATGTCCACATCATCATCCTGTTCACCAGGAACACATCAACACCCTCCAGCACCAGATGGATCACCCTCCCCCCACGTGATCCAGATTCCTTGAATGCCTAAGGATGTTTTAAAAAGTAAAGTTATCTCAGGCAAAATTCCGCCTCAGCCAGTTCACTCTGGCATCCACCTCCCTCCACCTCTGAGGTGCTTCCCCATCCACTAGCCCCCACGCCAGGACAGCCAAGGCCAACTCAGGACAGCACAAATCTTACGGGAATTCAGCCCTTGCTGGTTCTGATCTCCCAAGAAGCTTAGAATCACAGAATCCTGAAACAGCCAGAGCTGGAAGGGACCCTCAGGGATCATTGAGTCCCACTCCTGGCCCTGCCCAGACCCCCCAACAAGCCCACCCTGAGCATCCCTGAGAGCGCTGGCCAAACGCTCCTGGAGCTCTGGCAGCCTTGGGGCCGGGCCCATTCCCTGGGGAGCCTGGGCAGTGCCAGCAGCCTCGGGGGGAAGAACCTTGCCCTGAGACCCATCCCAAGCCCTGGCACAGCTCCAGCCCTTCCTGGGCTCCTGTCCCTGTCCCAGAGCAGAGCTCAGCCCCTGCCCCTCCGCCTCCCCTCGGGAGGAGCTGCAGCCCCCGAGGAGCCTCCCCTCAGTCTCCTCTGCTCCAGCTGAACGAGCCAAGTGCCCTCAGCTGCTCCTCAGAGCCTTCCCCAGCTCCGTGTCCCTCCTCCGGACACTCTCCAACAGTTTTGGATCCTCCTGATCTTGTGGTGCCCCAAGTGCCCCCAGCACTGGAGGTGAGGCTGCCCCAGTGCAGAGCAGAGCAGGACAATCCCTTCCCAGCACACACAGACCACCCCCAAGGCATAGAAAGGGGGTGAGTTTCTGCCGCTTTTTCACCAGGGGCAGTGACACAGAACAGGGCAGCTGGAGGACGCTGTGGCAGGTGGTGGCACTTACAGCAGGGCGGCAGGCGGCTGCTTGGTGCTGTGGGCCATGGGCGGGGGTCTCGGTCAGCACCCTGCGGACACAGCACAACTGGCACT